ATGTAAAGAGGTAAAATTTCTCTCAAACTATTATCTTTTTTCTATAAAATGTTTTTATTTTTTCCATTTTTTCTTTTTTTGGAGTTTTATTTTTATATTTCATTCATTTTCCCCTACTCTCCCCTTTTTTTACATATCCTTTTTAGTCATAGTTCATTTTCGTTTTTTTATAGATTTTTTGATAAAATAATTCTAGCTTGTCCATGAGTTAGTGCAACGAGTTGCATTAAGGACTGTTAAGTAACTAAATGAAGTTGGGCTTGTAGTTCTATAAATTAAATGCATATAGTTTATATATATGTTGTTAATAAAAAACAAAGACATGGCAATTCCCATGAAGTATAAAAAAAAAAATTATTTATTTATATTTAATAAACTTTATAAGTATTGAATTTAAATTTAAGGATTTTATTATAATATTATAGTTTAAATAAAAGATTACAACTTTTATTATAAAAATTTTTTAAATTTATTTGTAAAAATAGTACTTATATTAATAGTAAAAAAATTTTTATAGATAAAAACATATAAAAACTTAAAGAATTTTAAAAAAGTTTAATAGTAAATATTTTAAACTAAAAACTTTGAATTTTTGTCATTTAAAAGTTTTTAATAATTTTAAAAAATTTTCTTAACAAGGTTGTTAAAATGGCTTTTAAAATATATTTTTAATTAAAAAATATATTGCTAAAGTTAATATTTATGATTTTATTTAAAAAATTTTAAATCTTTTTTAAAATTAGAGGCAAATTTGCCCCTAATACAGATAAAGGAATGGTCTATAATACTTCATATAATAGTAGATCTGTAAATCTTTATATTTATGTTTTATCTCCAAAAAGCCTTTTCTATAACTTTATTTAAAGCTAGAAGAAAGGTTATCTTATTAAAAAGTTTTTTGATTTTTATTATTATTATTATTATTATTATTATTATTAATGTTATATATAAAAAAATGAATAACTTTTACAAAGTATTATATGAATACAATAATAGTTAAACTTGTAGATTTTCTATAAGCACCAATATTTGGTGTAATATTACACCTCAATTTTGTTATTTTGAAGCTGATTTAAGCAAAAAAACTACTATTAACTAAAGAAAGGCTAGTGGAAAACCTTAAAAGGAGTATAGTAGTAAAATAGTAATATGTTTAATTAAAGCATAAATAAAGTGTAAAGTTTTGAAAAAGTAATTTATAAATATATTAATCAATATTGTAGTTAAAAGTAGTATAATATATAGTTGATTTAAGAAAGTATGTTTTTGTACATTATGATTTAAAGATTATATTTCTTGCAAGTTTCTAAATATATTGTGTTTGATTTCTTGGAGTCCAGATTTCTGTTATAAACTAGTTGAAAAGACTATTAGAGAGATTAGTAAAAAAAGTTTGCATGTGTCTATATAGAATAGATTATATTTGGTTAAATATTTGTTGGTCAATTATTCCAAAGATAATTGTTAAGATTTGTAAGAGAAGTTCAAAGATATTGTTAGTGTTAATAAGAAGTTGTTGGGCTTGTTAAGTTTGTAGAGATTGGAAATTAGTATAATTTAGATTTTTTATAGATTTGTTTATGTAGTTTTTAAGAGTATTAGGTAATTGCCATGATGCTTTATAGTAGCTAATAATTGTCTGGTTGATTGTATTAAGCACAATTAGATGTTAAGTATAAGCATGGATATTTATATTAAGATTAAGAATTGTTGAAAGATTATTAAAAATAATTTTTATATATAGTGTATAAAGTTTTGCATTATAATTTTGTGAATTAAGAATAGTAAAAAGAGTTGAATATTAAAGGTAAGATTGTTTTGTAGTTTTTTAAGTTGCAAAAAGTAGTCAAGTATATAAAGAGTATACACTCTACTTTCATTATAACAAATCCTGATATAATAAATACCTTATTATAATGAAGTAATTTTCTAAAACAATTTGAAATTATTATTGTTATATTATATAATATAATAACAGATATTCATTTTTATGGATATAATGAACAAAATCTTTCAGCCTGAAGGGTCCATTATAACAAGAGTAGAGTGTAAAAGGTTTTATTAAGTTTTCAAATTAGTGTAGATATAATATTATTATACTAGAAGAAGTAAGGTATTGAAATTAGATAATTAAAGTTTAGTTCAATTTTAGGTTGGCAGCAGCCTTTTTTTGCTAAACTATTACAGTCAGGGGATTTACCGAATATGGAAATCGGGTTCTAGAATAATCTACGTTAAAATCCTCAAATTTAATTGGCTCTTGCATACTTCTTTATTAGCATTTTTTGGGAATTTTTTATACAAACAGGCAAAAAGTTTATTTTAAGATTCACCTCTCAAATTATAGATATTAGCAGACCGTACTTTTTGAAATTCGTTCAGAGCATTCTTATGCTTCTTAATCAAATGGGTCAAAATGTGTGTTGGAAATATGTCTGAAATTGAATTTTAATTAGTGAAAAGTGGTTTTAATCGATCAATTGTGCTTGGAATTAAGGTGAATAAGGGACAAAGCATGTTGTTTGTTATATTAAAAAAAAATTTTTAATAGTGAAAATGTTTAGTAAGTTTACTAATTTTGTTTAAACTTTGATCAAGATCCCTAATCTAATTTATATCTTTCTAATTCAATTTTAGAATACAATAAAACTATATATAATTGAGGTTGTGTGAGAAAGATCAATTAAATTTCTTGTACTATACTGCTTTGAATCTAGAATTGATTCATTCGCAAGAACTCATTCATAGAGATTTACATGACAGAAATATTTTGCAAAATTATTTCATAGCATATATATTACTAATCTGGAAAAGTGAAAAAAGAAAAAATATGTAGAATTCTGCTATTTATAGCACCAGAGGTTTTGGTAGGTTAACTATTACTAAAGCATCAGATAACTTACAGTTTTGGAGTTATCACTATAAGATTTCAACTGGACTAAAGGTATTTGATCGAATTTCATTTGATAATTATCTTGGACCATGATCTAATTGTTTAGGACCTGATTATTTATATTAAATTAGCTATGAAATGTATAGATAAAGATTTTGGTAAATGATCTATTACAGTATTATAGCAGTTAATACTTTTTTTTTTTTTGTATGCCTTGGGTCTTTGAAATTGGAGTTTAGAAGTCTTGGGCTAAATCGTTGAATTTCTGAAGATGGTCAATAGAAATAGGCGAAATAGCCTTGGTGGTAGGCAACCTAATAAGTTATAAGTAGCTTTCTTGGTTTTTAGTTTGTTTTTAACTTTTTTTAATTTATTTTTTGAGAGAGGCATAGGTGACTTCCAGAATGGGTTAGTGCTTTCTAGTAAGCATGAGTTGAGTCACAGAACAATTCCTTTTGGATCTTACCTTTATCTCACTACTTTGTTCTTGTTTATATAGGGTGATAACTTTATTCGGGTACTTGAGTCAAGATTCTTAGCAATAATAAAAGTATTTGCTTAACCATCAATCGCAATCAATATTTTAATTATTGCAACACTTGAACGTAAACACAATTACAAATCAATCACATTGAGAGTGGTATGTGAGAACATGTCAATTACATCATTTGCTCTACTGATTTTTAATAATCTAATTAAATTTTATATAATAGTTGAGCACCATTATAATCATTATCTAATTAATTGAGTGTGCTACTTGAGATTACTCCAAATTAAACCTATCTATAGTGACATTTACCAAGAGGCACAATTTTTCATTATCTAAATCTAATATTTGTGTTTGGTTCTTTGTACAGCACTTGATTTATAATACCATAGTATTTATAATGACCAATTTGAAGAATATGCATCTAATTTGCTTAAAGGAAAATGGTGTAGTAAGCCTAAGCTATTTTAGCATTAGTTGAAAATTAATCGATTTCAGAATTTGTAACTATGTAGCAATTCATTTGATTATCTATATAATATTTTATAAATAAAGTATTTAATGATTCATATGGGCTAGGTGCAATAGAAAAGAGAGAAATCAACAAAACAAAAGATCTTCAGAAGATCAATTTTTATGTTATAAATTTTATAATAAGTTATAAGAAAATACAAACTTTAAAGAGCTATATTACAAAATTTTATTAATACAACTGCTTTTGTGTTTTAAGTGAAAAATGGTTTTAATCTTATTCTGAATTGATTTATGTAAAAAAAAAATTTTTGAAAATTTGTCGATTTCCCCCTTTTCTATTGCACCTAGCCCATATTAAAAAAGGCATGAACTAAATTCAAATTCTGCAAAATAAAATTTTGCAATTAAAATTTTTCTATACTTGCACATGCTAATGTATATTAATTTTGTGATTATCCATGATAAAATCTAATTTCCACATTTTTTGCATCAAAAAAGTAGGCAAAAGAATATCAATAGGGTTGTGTTATATACATAAATTATTACAACATTTCAGTAAATATAATTTTCATCATTTTATATATAAAATATATACCAGCTTTACAAAAATATCAGCCAACAATATGTATCAGTTGATTTAAATATATTATTCGAATTGTAGCTCCTCAAAATCACCAAAAATTTGATCTTAGAAATTAATATCATGTGTTCAATTAAAGATTACAAACTACATTTCAGTTAGGGAATTCCCAAATTAGGAATCAGAACCTTGAAAGATCTATGCTATTTAATTGACTATATGCTTATTTTTTTTGCCGTTTCATTGTAAATTTTTTATGGTATTTTCTTCTTAATAATAAAAAGTCTTTGAACATATAATATTCAATCTTTGGATTTGACAATCAAAGTTAATTAGTTGAGTTTCACTTTATTAGCCAAAGTAAATAAGACCTCAAATTATACATTCATGTATAGTTAAGTATATATGAAAGAACATAATTTTACTTTGCATTTTTTTTCTTATAGTGTCTATTTACCAAAGACCTAAAGTACATACTTTCAAGTGTATTTTTGCTGATCTTGTTGAGCACTATGGAGTATTTCAGTTGAGACCTTGTGAAACTAGTAAATTATAAACATGGCGACATGCTGATAGTTAAGAATCTTTTAAAATATCATGATTATATTCCTGAACTTGTTGAATGTCAATCTTCTTTAACAAAATATTTAGTTTGTCAAATACATTACAACCAAGTAATTAATACTAATTAGTTTTATCAGTATATTATAGGTTCTGATCAAGAAAATAAAAGAACCCAACTTGACAAGAATAATTTAGATATTGCCAGTAATGTTGATCCAGCAGTTGAACTCAATCAAACTAAAGGCTTTTAGAATCAGTACAAATTGAAAATCAGTAAAATCACAAGAAATAATGACTCTCAATCACCAAATAGTACAAATGCAACAGTATATAAACAGCCAAAAAGATGAAATTAAGATGTTAAGAGGCCAATTACAAAAAGCTCATGACGAAATTATTGAAATTCAGAATTTATATTCTGAACAATACAAGTACAAAGAGACCATTATTGAACAGTTGAATTCGAGATATGCCGATTAACAAAAGCATATTTATGCAATCATTAAATAGCAAATGCAGAGTGTATATCATTTTTTGACAATGTGGAAGCATTAATTCAAGATAAAAATAGATTCTCTATAGAAAATATTGTATTATATAGTCCTCGAAAGTGGCTTAACAAAGGTAATTAAGTTGTTGTTAAATTTATTGAAAATCTTGTTAAAAATAATAGAGATACTGATATTTTAAGTCATGAAAAGCTTTTTAAAAATTGCTGTTATAGTTGATTCACTATATGGTGCACAACATGAAAAATATGTATCAGAAATTCAGCTTGCTCTTTCAGCTATTAAGTATTCAATTGTATGATCAAAAATGATTATCAATATTGATAATCATATTACAAGTTCAGGAAGTTATAATCAGTTTTAAAAGTGGATAGAAGAATTAGCAAGATATAAAAAACCATTACCTGAAGGTCTTTTGTTTTTTGCATTTGATAATGAACAACAAGGACAGAAAAATTATCTTGATCGAGGATTTAATACTGTGGTTTACCATACAGTTACAAGTTTTGTCATTTTTAATATATCATTACAAAATAGAATTCAACATACTACTAATTTACCTTGGGCATATAATTCTCTTAATATTCTACAGTATGATGAACTTTTTGAAGTTAGTTCCCAAATGCAAGAAGTTGTCAATGAAGAATTATATAATTATCTTGATAATCTTTTAAATTTATTGTCTCAAGAAAAATCATCTTTTACTAATACTATTGATTCTCTTGTAGTATCTACAGAAATTAAAATTACTAATATGAAAGTGTGCTCTAGCTGCCATAAACAAGAAATTGAAAATTGAAAAAAAGTTTGTCCTAGCTGTGGAACACAATTATTTATATTAGCTGAACTTCAAAAAGAAAAAGTAGTTGAAGAGAAAATTAATAAGGCTGACAATTCGCTTGTTTTTAGGCTATATAGTTTTGATAACGAATCAAGTTCGAATTCTACTAATATTTCTAGAATTAGTATTACTCAATGATGAGTTATTGATCAAGAAGTTAATATTCCTGATATTTATATCCCTGATCTAGTTAATATTAATTCTAATTCAATTGCTAATGTTGAAAAAAGTTTTTATATATAGAAACAATTACAGGAATTAAAAAAACTCACAATTGTGTGGCAGTAACTTGTGATGGTATTCTATACCATTATGCTCTAAAATTGAAGAAAAAATTTTCATGGCTAGTTCTTATCTTTGAGCTATTACATGAAGAAATGAATATGCTACAAGCATTTGTAGAATTAAACTGGTTAGTTATTAGTTTTATATAACACTGTATTACAGATTTTATTATTAAATTAATGTTTTTAATTGTTGAATGTTAAAGTATACAGAGACAAATTAAAATATATTAATTTTAAAATTTAAAAATTTTAGTATTATTCTGGTCAATATTCTCAAATATTTTAAACAAAAGACTATTAAAAATTAGCATTAATATAATTAAATTTTATTTTAGAGAAATCAATATAAAATGGTTTGCAAGATGCCAGGGTTATCGAACAGATAATCAACTTGTATATTTTAAAAAATATGCAAACTATCATAAGTCTTGGGATTCTATTTGCAATATATATCATCAGGCAATTACTATGGCCATATGTAAAAAGCAATTCTAAGATATCTGTTGAAGGATATTTTACTTGGATTAAGGATCAAGATTCTCTGTACAAATTAAAATATGAACAGGTTAGTATATAGTAATTGTTTATTAAAATAAAAAAATTTTGAGATATTAAAATTATATATTTTTTATTATAATAGATATTTATTTATCTTCAAACAATAATCAATTACTGAAAAGCTATTAGAACTAACAACCCCTTATTAAAACAAGTAGCTAGAAGAGTGTTTTCTCCTATTTGGTCTGCAAGACGTCATCCTATATACTGTCTTATAGAAGTTTTTGATGAAATTTAATCGATTCAGCTTTATTCTGAAATATGAGACATTATAGAGGAAAATTGTGTTGTCTCTAGATCTGGTATTTATGACCAACATCAAGGTTCAGATACAGTTATGAAAGAGATAAACAAGACTCTGAAGTCTTTAATACCACCTATTCCACAACACCATCATTGGGTAACTGCAGCACGTAATTGTAAAAAATTCCTTGAGGTAATATCTGTTTTAATTAAATAATCTTTATCTATATTTTTACTAAAAGTTTTATAACAAACTATACATCAGGAAGTTTAAAAAGCAATAATCAACTAGCTATTTAACTTAAAAAGGTTGAACATTTAATTTTAATAACAATTAACAGGATATACAGCTAGATATTTAACCTTTTGAATTAAACATTACGATAAATATTTTTATTAGTTGGCCAACAAGTTAAATAACTATATTGTAGTACAACTAGAGTTTTACAAGTATCGAGTACAATATAACACTAGCATTCATACATAGCACTAAGCTTTAACAGTACTATTTATAAATATTTATTTGCTTTGCTTGACCTTGTTTCAAACTTTATTTTATTTAGTAAATACGATTTATTTAATATATAAATAGTTATAATTATTATATAAATACAATTTAAATATAGAAATAATTAACAAATTTCGCTATGCTCTTTTATTATAAACTTTAACAATCAGTAATTATCAATTAATATATTCTGCAAAAGATGTGCAAAAAAGTGTATTTACACATAAATACAGAAATATTCTTGTTAAAACTAAAAATTCAACAAGTTGAATAGTACATCTCAAACATGTTATTTAATCTGCAATTTATAGATTTCACGAGCATGCTTGAATGGCATATTCGAATTGTGCTTTTTTAACTTATTAAATTTTTGGATTAACTTGGGCTTTTTTAATATTATTCGATATTACCTACTATAAAAATTTCAGTTGTACATACAGTACGTACATATGTATATAGTTCTGCAAAAGATGGCACAAACAAACAAGAGAGTTGCACAATCTAAGATAAAATGTCAATATATACTACATATTACATACTATATACTATATATATATATATATACTGTATATAGAAAAATAGATTAGAAATCTCAAAACAATAAACTTGCAGATTATTTCTAAAAAGTATTATGTTATAACTTAGACCTAATTATGCAATATATTAAACAAAAACCTCGATTTGTTGTAATATTTATTTGTTTTTTTTTTTGCAAAATTTGTATCTGGTTTTTATTTGTACTGCCATATTTATATACACTATTGTATCTCTAATCAAATATACAATTTGTATCTAGTATTAAAATATGAACGTATTAACCAAATATTCATTTGTACTATTAAAGCATGGTTGATACTATATGAACTAATTCTATTAGTGTTTCTACTGGAATAAACGTATAGAGTAAATTGTATTCAGGATAACAATATTTTTTTAACTTATTCTGACATTTGAAATCATACCAATGAATGAATACTAGATCAAATGGATTCTCTAATTCCGAAATGCTTATTGAACAAAGAATTAAGATCTAATAATATAAATATGTTAATGTCAAATTATGCCATGTATATAAAATACAGTATATTGATTAAATATCTTTACAAAACATGCACCATTATCAGTGCTATATTGATCTACTTTCTCAGTATTTATATTAACTGAAATATTATCAAACTGTGTATTATTATAATAGTCAGACATTGCCCGAATTGTATCTCTGCTTGAACTTATAGCTGAATTGTACCAATTAACGAAAATTATTCTATCTTGTATAGTTGCACTTGTTAAATCCTCGCAAAGATTTAAAAATTCATGAAATGCTAGTAAAATATGGGTTAAAGCATCCAAAACCTCGAAAGCTAGACGGCGTGTTGCTTTGTAAGAATTTACAAACTTTTCAAATGATGACAATTAGAATTTTGAATAAATACTAGTTAATAAATATTGAGGTAATTTGCTATTGTTTGTTTTTAGTTGGTTTAATTGATGTAAGTACTTAAGAATGTTTTGACGTTGTATTTAAATAGTAGAGTAGCTATTTTTTATTTTTATTTTTTTCTTTTTATAATTACAAAATAAATATAAAACTATGGTATTTACATTTTTAAGAATTTGATCAACTGGTGTCTGCTTATTACTCATCTGATAAGGATTTTTGACACATTCTTTATGCAATGATTTATACGTTTTGGTAGAGAATCTGTTAATTGCACTATATTCTTTGATTGAAGGAATTATGTGACATATCTAATTATACAACTTCGGAAGCCGTAAATTGGACTTAGAAAATGATGAAAAGAGTTTAATAAACCCTTTAGCCCATCTTATAATTAATGACTAAACCATTATAACAACTCTCCCCGACGATCATTTGTACCAAAATTTCAACTAACAAAAAACACAACTTTTGTTGGAGATACGTGGCCTTATAGTGCGGTTTGTCTAGAGGTCAACTGCTTTTCTAAGGGACTCCTCTAAAAGGACGTTTGGCATGCAAG